TGTACGGTTCCACCAACAACAACAACAACAGGAGCAACAACAGCTGCAAAAACAGCCAGAATCACCACCAGCACCACCACCACGACGAAGACAAGAACCACCACAATCGCATCAGCAACAACAACAACAACACCAGCTTCAACAGCAACACGAAGAGAAACGACAATGAAACAAATTAATGGCAGCAGCTGCAGCAACAGTAGGAGCAATACTCTGCGCACCGTCGCCAGCAAGAAGAACAACTACGCGAACAGGAGTGACAGCGACCGCAGCGTCTGCAACAACCATAACAACAGCACGGACAGTACCCCAAATAGAAGAACAGGAAGGCTGTAAGAACCACCGCAGTGTAACGACAATACTACCACTGACTACCACATGCAGCTTCAGCAACAAAAACCCAATACCACTGTCGGCACTGGTACTGCGCTGTAGCCTAGACGAAGCTACTGTAATCAATCACTGTCCCGTGACGATGAGACCTACCTTTCTTGCTTCTGCGAGTACTGTGACTAGAAACTGTCGAACTTGCGGATTTTCTGAACCTGGGACACAAAGCACTACTGCGACTGGCCTTCTGGAAGAACTTGATCCTTCGCGCGGCGCAGGCGAGCAGCGAGAGGGCAATGATCCTGGACCGGGGAGAGGTCGCCACTGCCCTTTGCTTCTGGAACAAGAACAACAGAAGCAATGATGACATCGATAAAACGACCGGCAAAACCGACAACTTCGAAAATGGTGACAGTAGCCAAGGCCAGGCTAGCAACAAGAAGGCTAGCAAGAAGTGATGAAGCAGACATGACGATAACAACCAGCACAAGCAAGAACGCGCGGACCGGCAATCGTCGTCAGGGAGTAACCATGGGTGCCGCACTGATTCTCCTTCTTCGTAGCATGGGCATCACCATGGGCTCATGACCCAAGAGGCTCCAGCGCACTAGTAGTAGTGTCACTCCAAAGTATCGGGAGGCCTCATGAAGTCGAAGTCTGCATCAGGGTCCGTCTGAAGCCGCGGCTCGCTCGACTTTGTGGCTGGGATGCACTGCCTGAGCCCGAGGAAAAGATGGCATCGCGAGCTCAGATTCCAGTTTTTCAAGTTATATTCCTTTGCACAGCGATTTCATATTCCAACGGCAATCTGTTTGCGCCAGGGGGCTCGCACAACTTCATCGCGATGCGAGCCTCGCGTGCGTCGAGGTAAGCCAACGCCATCTTGCAGTGGGTGAGGACGGCCTGTGGCAGGCTTGAAACATCTACTCTGCAGCCTCAGGCAGAGTCTAGAGTCTAGACTTCTCAGTGCTTCGGCGCTCACTAGCCTGCCGTTCAGTGAAAGAGTGCCGCAGGCCTCTCTGTGGTTCTGCTTGAACTCGTCGTCGAAAGCAACGATGCCCATCTCACAATGCTTCAGCCTGAGGTGGTTGACAAAATTCCTGCAAGGATCCCTGGGAACAGCGTGCCGCCACGGTGCTTCTCTATTTGGTGAGCCATGCGGTCGGCCATTAACGTCGGCCACTTCCGGTGGTAGATCTCCTGAGGTGCAGCAGAAATCAGCATGACAATCGCCATCGCCGCAACCTGGGGCATCTCTGCTGCCGAGCTTCCGTCTGGAAGTACAACCTGATTTGGACAGACTCGAGCCATTCAGCAAGGATGAGCGTGCTTCGGAGGCTGTATAAGAGTGTTTGTTACGCTGCCACACTGCTATACCTGTCCCTCACTTGAAAAGCTTTCCCGGGCCGAAGGGCTTGTTTGTGTAGCGCTCATCTCCCAGCTCAACTGGCGAGAAATACCTCTGTTGTCGAAGCTTGCTGTGGTTTTGAAGACACAGCGTTGCCGGACAAGCTGGCGTGACGAAATTTTAACTTCTGCAAAGCCACATGATTTCATAAAGGAGCGTATTTTCCACCTTGGAAAGTCACTTCGGTCAGGCCATGTCAGAACCCGGCATGAGTCCAGCAGAAAAGGGCACAAGAACAGAGTGCCAAGTCACGCCATCTCGAGTGATCCTCATCGCCTCCAGCCCGGCGGTCTTCGCAGGGCCGCAGGAAGCGTTTGCCTATGGGCTCCCCTACGCCTTGAGCTTGAGGTGCGTACAGTCTCTGGCAATAAGTTTCTAGACATATCTCACCACTCTGACCATAGAACAGTGGCTCCCCGAACTCCTGACATGTCTCCTTGACCTCAACAACTTGAGCCAACAAAGGCGAGACATTGCATGCTATGCTCTCTACGGGATCGATTTGGCTCGACACCGCCAATGGCGTAAGATGCGTTGAAAAAGGTCTGCGAGCTCAACCCCGTCGATGCTTTAACAGGCAGCTTCTCCCTTTCCGGTGCTGTTTGTTGCTCCAAGCATACAGATGGTGCAGCATTAGATGCATCGTGGTTGGATCTCCAAGCACCTCTCACTGAACAGTTCGGACTCTGGAACAAAGCAAAGGACTGTCATGCCCAGTCCCTTAACTGTGCCACGAACTCGGCTGAATCTTCTTTGTCTTCCCCATGTCGATCTTCTCTGGCTTTGGTTGTCCATAGCCAACTGGACTTTTACCCAGCTCAACAAGCTCAGACATGGAATGGTAGCTGACGAGGGTCAAGCGTCCACTGTTGCAAGAGAGAAACGGATGCTGGCTTCAAAGAGTCACAGCAGTTGCGGCGCAGAACTTGGCCAGACTTCATTTCGTCTTCTACATTCTACATTGCATCATCTTGCATCAATCGACCTGTGCCACAGCCAAGGGATGTCAGCTTCGAGTTTCGTGAGAAATGGTACAACTACCATCCTGTCGAGACTCTCGATCTCTCTGCCTTCGACCCTTATGCACCTGCTGGTACACCCTCGGAACTGCTGTTTCCTCCTCGTCCTCTTCTTCCTCTTCACGTTCTGCCACGCCCATCAAACTCAGCGGACAGAGATCACGATGGCAAGCACGAGCACACGCTGCAAATGGATGGCTATGATACCATAATTCTGCGAACGAGACCCCGCGTGTCACGCTCAGGAGCAACACCCAATCACATTTGCAGTTGTAAACGGTTCAGAAATCCACATCGGAGATGACACAGAACGGCTTTGCTTAGTGTGCAATCAACTCCGAATGATTCTCCCTAGTATCCTGTACTATGCTATTTACTATACTAGACTGCACTATGCTATACAATTTTGTGAGACATGTCCCACAAACTACTTGAATGCCAATTCTGGTCCACGATTTGCTCTGCCAAGGAACTGCTCCTGACGCGGACCTTGGATTAGTCAGTATGGTACAATGTAATAATATACTATGAAACAACTTGCTACAACAAGCTCGCGCACAAGTCCCGACAAACAGACACACACCCACATATATTTATGTGTGTGTATGTATGTATGTGTATATGTATATATATATATGTATATAGACAGATTTGTACACCCACCCCCCCCCCCCTTGACAGACCACCCCCTTTAAAACCCCGCTCCCACCGGCGATTCCGGCCTATTTCGTGGGTTCGGGATTCAAGCCCTGTTTCCGGCTGGCTTTAACCATTCAGCCAAAAACGAAAAACCACGAAAACAACAAAGATCCGCAGAAAATGCCGGAACTGCATTGATATGTGTTTGTGTCTTTGCTGGTCTGTGTTCGTGTGGCTTCAAGCCCGCAGCCTGAGACCAAAAAACAAAAACCAAAGATCCAAAGAGCATGCGGGGACTTTGTTGTTGTGTTGGTTCTTTGGTCTTTTGGTTTTTGGTGTTCCGATTACTATGAGTAGTTGGCACTGCATAAGAAAATCGTGCAAAACCCCAAAAAAAAACAAAACCAAAGAACAAAAAAACACAAAAACAAAACAGTTCCGGCATTCTCTCTGGATCTTGGTGACGCGCGCCTGCGCTCTTGCCGGAGATCCCCATACCACAGCCCTAAACCTTAAACCCTATACCAAAGCATCTATATGTTTCGTTTCAGGTTTGATTTACGGGTTATTGAAGACATTCTGTTATTGAATACTCTGGTGCCAGTAGTCGTTTCAGAACTAAGTAGTTCACTCAGGTCTTGTGCTGAAACATGCCCATATGTGCAACCGAGATTACTAAGCCTCACACATGAGTAACAACTGCAACAGATCTTGCAGAAGTATCAATCATCAACCATGTAATTAAAATGAACCATATCCTTGCCATATTTGCCAGATGTATGTCGGCACCACTTTAACCTTAACACCATTAATTCAATTTTTAAGTGCATTTGTCAAAAGAACAGTAAACTTCAGCAGTAGCAGGTATTCGTAGCATCTCGTGACCCACTACCACATCTGCAGATATCGGTATGTGTACTGGAATTATAACCGATATTCAGTTGCAACGTTCCATGTGTTTTGCAGTCCTTTACCATTAACTCAACATTGGTCTATTACTTCACCGCTTCATACAATCATATGTGCAACACCAGCCGTATTGCCAGCTAAATTCCGGTATAGCTACAATTTTATGCCAAAAGAACAATAAATTTCGGCAACAGCAGTTATTCGTAGCAGCTCGTGACCCACTACTGAAGTTGTAGATATCGGTATGTAAACTGGAACCATAGTCGTCATACACCTACAAGCATATCCAATCCCCACTTCCATTCTCAGTCACCTACATGACGAATACATTCTGTTTTGCACGAATTATCGTATCAAGTGCGGTCGGTTTATTCTTAGCATTACATTTACCTGTGTTATAGTAACCATTACCAAGATCCTTGTTACTGTGGTTAAAGTTGTCGTTCTGCCCCCTTCAGTATTACGAACACAAAGAGAACACTCTGTACATCTTCATTTCTTATTTGTTCTAAATTACATTTTCTGGGTTAACCACCCCTGCGCGATTAGCTATGGGTTATCGGTGCATTGTTGAAGAGATGGTATTCACGTAATTATTTCAACCCAACCAAACATTATCAGGTACATGTACCAGTTGTTGTTGAGTCGTGTGTTTATTCACCTTCTGGTTAATAGGTAATTCGCACGTCACAGTCCCTGAATATTCACACCTGTGCCTCAACATTGAAGCTGGAGGATTGGTATTGTTGAGAACAAATAATTTCAATATGTGACTGCTTGCTTAATTTTGTATTCAGCAGGTCGGTTCTTGAGATCTTGTCCCTGTGCCAACAAACCTTTGCATGCTTGTTCGGAGTTTACTTCATCTCAAGTCCGTGAATGAGTTGCAGGAAGTCATGTCCATTTTTTCGTTGGTCGAACTGGGTGTTGTCTTTTGTGTAAAATCACTGAAACTTTGACACCTAGCAATTGATGTCTATTAAACAATCATGTATGCCACACCTGCGTTGTGGACTTCTGCTATCGTATTGACCAGAGGTCTGTACTGTAAGCACCTGTTAAAGCCGTACAAGCATGAAACCATTAGGGACCCCCCAGTGCAAACACAAAGCACACAAAAGTCGGTATCCTACATGTTTACCTTGCGAAGTGCGTAGCTCCAGCCAGCATATTGGGTTAGCTTTTTTTGTCTTTTATATTTCGGAATGCTGCTTTAAGTGCACACTCCGTGCTGAATAACAAGACTAAAGCCATAGTAACATCTTCACACATAGATTACTGATTAATACCTATGTTTGTACAGGACAAAAAGGAGAAGTTCATGACTTTTTTTGCAATCCTCGCATAAATATTTGCCGAATGGATGGTTGAATTCGCCGTTGAAGTTAAGTGCAAGCTGCGGGTCTTAAACAAGCCAAGGTTGAATAAACTGCTGACACAACGATAGGCTCGACACATAAATTGAAATTTTCAATCCGATGAGGGTAGACAGCACCCTTAAGCTTCTTTGAATTTAGCCATGTCTACACTTTCCCTGCGATGGTCTGTCGCCGGGTGGGGTGAGCATATATATATATACATATACATACACACACACACATATATATATATATGTATGTATACACACATAGATACATTCAAGTATAAATATGAATATAAATAAATAAATAAATAAGTATATATATATATATAAGACTGCAGGATGCTGCTCAAGCTATAGCCTCCAGGAGACTTGCAGGAGAAGTGCCTCCTCCCAGTAAACTTGAACTCGATCTCTCACTCCGCGGCCTTAGCTGCATTTTGTCGACATCTAGGGAAAGGTTGGTATCAAGGCAACTGTTCACGGGATTCATGTTGACGATCTGCTCGCATTATCTGTGCTGCCTGCTGAGGATTCCTAAGTCCGATTGGGTTGAGAAAATAACCTCTTGAATCAGACCCAGTCGCGTCATTGGACTGTCCTCCATGTCGCAGCCTTTGGTCTCCAGGACCCAGAGATAAATTCCGAGCACGCCCAGGGCACTCACGGAACCTTGCTGGCACATATGCCCATGCTACAAGCCCACTGTGTGCTCAGGAGTCTTCGAAGCGTAGCAGAGACATCGAGCATACTTTTAACAGCCTCAGCATTGCGAGGACAGGAAGTCAGAAAGAACACATCGGGCGCGCATGACATTTTTATTCCACCTCACGGCAGGTCTCGGGCGCATGGCGGTGCGGCCCCGGCTCAACGCTTTCATGACATCACTCGGGCCTGCGGAGCCGACCCTTGAGCCCAGGGGTCTGGGCCACGGTCTCCTTCTCCTTCTCCTTGACCTCCTTGGTTTGGGGCTTCTTTGGAGGCGCTTTGTTTCGGGGAGACCCGCGCTTCGCCAGCGGAGGCAAAGCCTCCTCCTGCTCCGCCAGCTCCAGCTGTATACCGGTCTGGTTCTCGATTCTGGCTTTCAAGTCCTGTAAGACCCGGATGGTCGCCAACTTCTCCCGAGACAACAAATCCCAGTAAATGCCCTTTGGCTTGCTGGGCTGCTTCGCCTTGTCCACGTAAATGGTCTGAGTGGGTGTGACAATAATGTCCACTGGCACATCGTGCTTCATCATGCCCTTGCCCTTAGGCGGGAAGTCATCAGTGATAACTTGGCTATCATGCACGGTGGTGATGATCGGCGTTGATTCCTCAGTGGTTCATCGTCTTCATTTCTCACACGAATGACTCGCTAGGTGGTCTGCAGACAAACCCACCAGCTGCTAGCCCTGTAAGTAAGACATGACACTAGCACGATGCATGTGTTCTGAAATACGGACAAGACAGACCGCCACGCAGTACTGCACTATGAAACATGTCCAAACCAGAGCCAAGATCATCGATCATGCCCAGCTGGCGCATGATGCCATATTCCAACTCCGCGAAGCCCTCACCCTTGCCAACACGGATTCCTGATTCAGGATGCACAGCTGACGACCCCACGACTACAACGTCGATCTTTGTCTTATCATCCAAGTCCATGGGGTCTGCAAGCTGCTTCATTCCGCCTCGGTGCTCACTGCCACGCTCTCATACTTAGCACAGCGAGGTGTAACCGAGCAACTTCAACTCACAAGACACGAAGATGCTTTGCAAGAAGGCCTCCAAACGCGATGCTGAGCTCCCGACGTGCCGTTGCTGCAAAGTTGTACTTCTCAGGTGGGACAGTTCCAGGGTCAATCCGAGAAAAGAAGCCTGTCCTGAGACGTGGCTGCGGCACATAGAGGATCTTCCGTGAGCGCAGTGCTGCGACTCGAACAGACTTCTGTGGCGTGTCTGGGTTCACTTTCACGATCTTCGCGTCAATGAACTCAGGCAGCTCTGCCAGGCGCTCCCCAGCTCGCGCAGAACCCTGGAAGTTCGGGATGCGATGATGAACAGGTCGCGGAAAATCGGCCAGGTCATTGTCTTCCAAGAAATTCCACACACGTTGCCGTATGTCCCATTTCCATGCCTGAAGCCCGGGAAACGCTGTATTTTGTGCTTGCAACCAGCACATTAATATGCAAAGCATTCCGTCCAGGAGGCGGTTTTTTGGGCACGGATGTTCCCACCCTCCGCTAGCTCCTTTAAAAAGACTGCGGAAGCACACTGCTGCTTCTTGCCATGTGAGTTATAATGGCAAGCTGTTCAGACTGCCCAGATGTCCTGTATGAGCTTCATGTACTCTTGCATGCCCTCGCGTGCTTCCTGGTCCAGTCGCTGTCGTTCCTCTTCAGTCTCCTGGCGCTCGGATAGAGAGGGAGGGCCAGCAATGATTGGCCTAACCACCTGTTGCATCGGGGTGATTTGTGCATGAATTTCCTCGTCATCCAGTCTTGGATGAGAAGGCTACAAAGAGCTGCCGAGTTTCTTGCTTTAGAGCAGGCGGAATCGATCTTCCACTTGTTTTGCAAAGCGTAACACGCATGCTGATCGTTCCTCGAGACGACGACATGAAGGAGCAAAGGCACATGTCCCGACTCTTTAATCCTTATCGGTGAAAACGTCTGTCAGTAGCTGCGCAGCAGCGTCAGCAGCAGCAGCGGCAGCAGTTGGAGGGGAAGCTGTGCTGGCAGTCCACATCAACATGACAGAGCACAAGTGGTTGAACAAATGAGTTTATTGGTAGTAGCATGAGGAGGAGGAGGAGGAGCAGCAGATGCAGCAAGTAGCCTCGGCAGCAGGCATGCTCTAAGTTCTGAGGCTCTCTGTGGCAGCTAGCAGTGCAAAACACTGATCTTCTTGGAATCAGCAAATCATGAATCACACGAGGCACCAAGCGCATGCATGGCTCAGAGGCAACGGCAGCTTGTCAACCCTTCTCCTTTGTTTGTCGCACCTGCATGCAGCTTCGTCGGCCGTGTATCAAGCGAGGTCGGAGTGAGATGCAGCTGCATCCAACCACTGCCCAGCGAAAAGCCACCTGCGGATTTCGCGAAAAACTCTTGCAACAAACCCGTAGAAATCATTCCAATCGATCCTGAAACGAGGGGGGTCCCGCGAAGCCTCAGCTGAAAGTGGCTGCTTGAGCGCATGCCTTATTGGCCTGCCCAGAACTTCATGTGCCCCAGAGGCCAGCAGTGGACTGGATGGGGCCCGCAAAGCATGCATTGCCATGGCTCAAAAGGCAAGCGAGATTGTGTTCGGTGGGCACTCTATGTGAATTGTCGCGAACCTGCTTCGCACCCCTCCACCCCGACTTGGGGATAGCATGGTCTTCAAGGCACTTTGAGTCCCTGCACCCACACTGCTTCGGAACAGGTTGCTTTCCTGCTTACGCGTTACGGCTCGCTGCAGGACGCCTTCTATTGACGAAGCGGCTGCAGCAAGATGCTGAGGATCTCAGCAAGCAACCTATCAATAGATTTTTTTGAGGTCGTGTAAGCATACAAGGATTCCCGACTTGCTGAATTTGTGTGCGCTGCATCGCGATCTCAGGTTAGTACCGAACAGCAAGCACGAAGAATGCAGGTTCCTCAGTGGCGGAGCTTGAATGGTCAAGGCTCGAACTTCTGCTGTCATGATTCGCAGGACAAGGAAAGATACCTAGCGGAAGATGCGGAGATTCCGTCTGTAACTCTGTCTCCTTGGCTACTCGATTCCTGAGACATAGATATGTGCAGCCGTGCTGCAGGAACCGTGCGATCAGCACCACGAAGAAGCAACTCAGCCACTTGATGACTCCGCATGCGGAAAGCGCAGGTCCTTGCAAGACGCCACCATAGAATGTCGTAGACTCAGCGAACTCTGGCTCGAAGTCCTCTAATTTCCGAGGGGTAAATCTCCGAGAGCCATAGCCACGTGATGGCTCCGAGGCCGAAGTTCCAGGAGACCACGAAGAAGCCTGGAGGAAAAAGGCTCTTTGCTCTTAGACTCTGTGCTTCTGCCACGTCTCTTCCGGTTGTGTACTTTGAGGATCTCTGAGCTCGGGGCTGAAAAAGACGAACGCGCTAATTCCCTGCACCACCAGAGGCCTCAGGAGGCCGTTCCAAGTCTAAGTGACGTGTGATGTGCAAACGTTCGGATTGCCGGATTGAACTGGGAAAGTTCCTGCCAACAGCGAGGAGACCCTGCCGTCGGCGCAAATCTGAACGATGTCTGACAGGGTGCAAGAACTGCACGACGTACACCATAGATGCCTGAGTGGCATCGCAGGGCCGAAGACTTCTCCTCGAAGCTCCAAGCCAAGGCACCATGGCCAGGCTCTGGGTGACGCAGCCATAGAGCAGTAAGGAACGCCTACCCATGTTATCCACGAGCTGGGTGCTCCAAACCTTAGTCTCCACAGGCTTTCCGGAAAGATGAACTTCACGTGGTCCCATGTAAACTTCTTCCATGCAGCGGAGACGAGTACGTTGGCGATGCACATCCTAAGCACAAAAAGTCCGCGAGTGCATTCCTTCTCATGTCAAAGTGGCAATGCTTGTTCGAAAAGCTGAGTCACGCAGACAAGATCGTCAAGTTAAGCGCCATAAACACTTTCGAGACATGGGGACGTGTGTGCCGACTTTTTCCGACAGGCGAGAAGCCACACCAGGGTCTTCAACTAAGACGGGTAGGTGAACACTGCGTGAACACCGCTTCAAATTCACTTGTATGAACTGCTGCGGCTGACCCGTGACTAGTCACCGACATTGGCTTGTGCCCTGGGCACGTGTCTAAACGTTTGCATTTCGGCGACTGAAGACGAAAGTTTCCAGCTCGGGACTTCCAACCGCAATCTCCGGCCACTTTACAAGCAAAGCGCTGCTTCTTGCCGGAAACCTGTCTCAAAGCTTTGCAATTCAGAATTTGTTACTGCATTTAAACTACGCCAAGCCTGTTGAGTGGGCCTCTGCAGCGTGCTTCAGCACATCCGCACCGGGAAGAAAACACACCGGTAACGGACTGTTCGACCCTGGGGCCTTGTCCTTGTAGTCCATTTTGCAGCTGCCAGCTGTCAAACGATTCGAGGCCCCTGAATATAACGGCTGTCTGTTAAGGTTACGGCTGAGGACATGCTTGGGACACACTGCAGGAAAAGCTGTGATTTTGGTGCGAATCGGGGACATGAGCCGTTCCGGCTGGTCTGTCGTTGTGTTCCAAACCAAGTGCACGCACGACCAATGCATGAAATCGTCCGAAGCATGTTGCCGTGTAGATACCCCGTAACCTTTCCCAACGTCCGGTCAAACAGATTCCAACTGGTCAGGGGCCCCATGTGGCAGCTAAATGATTCTATCCGCCGAAGAATCTCGTGTGTTGTTGCGTTGTGTATGTGGCTTGGAATTCTGGCATCGTTCTTCCAACTCGCAGCACTGAAAGGAACACATGATGTACTCATCCCGTCTGCAGGACTTCATTGGGGTAGTGCAAGATTTGCGCACCTAGAGGCCGACGAAAGCTTGAAACTTGGTGAAGTAAGGTGTCGGCCCCTCCGTTTCTTCCAGCCAAATCAATCGAGAATCCACGCCCGCAACGCAAAGCGTTTGTTACGGGAACCACTCGGCTCAAAATCGCCAACGATCAAATAAAAAGGGATAGTTGTTTCTACTTAGGTTACGTAAATGGCTATGACACACCTTGTCCCGGCTGCAATCCAAGCATCCCAACAGATGCCAGCGTAAGGTCATTGTCGGGAATTCCAGCTTGTGCAAAAAGGCCATTAGAGTATGCCATCAGTGCCTCACTTCAGTCGGATCTCGCTATTGGATTCCGTGCAATGTGACCGGCAAGATTCACGCTGCAGCCGCACGTGCTGAGGCCTCAACATTAATTCCCGTAAGCCTTTCAAGCACAGAAGACAAAGAAGTGATCGACTCGCCGGAAGTAACGACACCGAATTCTCTGCCAAGCAGCTGCTGGTAGGACGCAAGGAAAAAGCCCACCTCGAAGCTGCAGGCACGCTGAGAAGCGATGTTATGCCCTTCGTCCAAGGAGCCATAATTGAGCAGCGCAGGTACCGATCTTGCAGTGCCTGCAACATATGATACGGCCCATTGTTGGAACAACGGAACATGTTGAATTGGCTTTGTAGGGCCCCGCCACTTTCCCTGAATTGCAGGCGTTTGTGTTTCTACTTAGGACAAGCTCCGCGACTCCAGCATGCAATACCCTGAGTTTGGGCATTCCCCAGCCAGCTTATTTGACTGCTACGTCGGCACTGGCATGCACTGGTTAAACATCGCGGTATGCAGAGAGGAAAGAGCTTTCGTATCGGAATCTTCCGATCAGCCTGCAGCAAGCCTGCCCTCCGGTACTGCGGCTTCTCTGAAGTTTAGGATTGCGTTCAACGTTGGGAGCGACTCAAGAGCAGGCAAGCGCATGGGTGGACCGTGTACTTCACCCGCCATACTGTTTTTGTTGAGGGCCAATCAACAGCGTCTGCAACAGTAGTGGCATCTCCCAGCCCGATTGAGCAGGCCAAGGCGCCACACGTTTGAGGCTTGGGGGTTGCCTACTGGGACTGGCCTCTAACAAGGATTCCTCTTGTGAGAAAAGCATTGTTAGTCTTGTGACTCTTATGACCACTAGGACTTTAGCCTTTCCTGACTATCCTTTCTTCCGATAAATCTCGTTTGCACCAGTTTCAACAAGAATCAAGGCTTCCTGGCCACTGGTCTCTGGCTCTGCTCGCCTGTTGACCCTTTTGCTGCTGCAGTCGCATCATGTCGCAGCATGTCGCGTGCACCTGAACGACCGTGATCCGCTTGGCGGCCTGGGCCTCTGCTGCAACGACCTGAGTTGGCTTTGCTCAATGACTGGTCGTGGCCTCCGCAAGCTTAAAGATCTCAAAGGTCGCGGTAATTCCCTGACGGGCCGCATGGAAACTTCTAGCAAACGCTGCAGGTGAATTGTTGCTTTCTCGCCATGGTGCTGCGAGGTCCTTCAACTTCAGCTCGAGCTTTGTAACTCGGACCTGTTCCAGCCCGGCAGACCTCGTGTGGAGCTCACTTCTACTCCGTGGCTTCCTGTATCATTGCCGGCCAGGGGCGACTCCGGTGCTGACAGCCCATATGTTTTGTACAGCATCATCCTCGCTCCAGGGCACACTCCATGGTTTTGCAACATTCTGACTGCTCAATCTAATCCGCAATCTGCGAAATTGTTCTCTCCCGACCCTGGTCACGCCCATGAGAGAAAGACTTAAGCAAACGCCTATGCAACAACTCGTCCTGGCTTCTTCCATTTGGCCCTGGCGCGGGAATGCAGCTTCTGCCAAGATGTCAGGCAGCTGCAGACATCTGGCCTGCCGCACCAAGTACAATGCCGGGTCGATGGGGAGGTCGAACTTCATGAGCACGTACTGGAACCCTGCGACCCAAGATCGGGTGGCATCAGCAATCCAAGTTGCACGCACTGCCGTGTGATTTCGACCAGCTGAAGTGAATTGTGTCGCTCGGTGGGTTAGGAAAAGTCCGCATCGAGCGATGGCACCACTGTCAGACGCCTCCGGCCAAAATCGGTAGCCCAAGGACGACTCGCCAGAACCATCTGTTGGTTTCCTGGGCTGATCAACATCTCTATCACGCACCAGGGCTGACACAAGGCTGCTGTTCCATCGTACCAAGTGCGGCAGTCGACCTGTGTTGCTCGCCATGTGCGATGTCAACCAAGGACATCCCTCGACATGGATTTACTCGTCGGCACCGTAAACTTTAACTCGCTGGAACAAGCCGTCAGAATGAACAGACAGTATCGTAAGCAGCCCCTTAAGCAGGGTCAGCTTCGGTTAGGCCGTTGCCAGGAGGATCCTGTGGGAGCCCTATCAGCTCGGCGCACAGAAGTCCTTGGCTCGACGGCTCGTGGATTCGGACTTTTGCCAGTGCTAGCTTGTGATCAGCGCTGCCAGGAATCCTACGGCAACGTATAGGCCATGCTTGGCGGCATGTAGGCCCCGCTGCTCAACAGGAGAGACCTGGCACAGGCTTTGCAGCTTTGCCGCTTTTATCAGAACTGCATTGCAGACACCCTATCGAATATGACACTGCACGGAGTCACGGAGGCACACTCTGCCATACACTCCCCATCCTGCCTCTGCAATGTACACTGGGGCTGCAATGGCCTCAAGCAAGCTTGCACACAACACCTGCCGAATACTCAATCACACGTGCACAGACATACAATATGTGCACACACAAACACTGAGCATCCCTGAGCAACCAACCAACCAACCCTATACTAGCTGGATCTGTGCCGAGCTTCGGAAATTCCCAGGGCGATGCCGGAGAGCATGCGCGACACAAGCAGACACTTGATTCCAGTAGCGAACGCCCCGAAAAAACCGCCAGCGATGAAGAAGAGATCCTTGCAGATTCGCGGGAAGCAATACGTACGACATAGATCTGTAGGCTCCGATTCGCGCAAGTGACCGGGATGGAACTCCAAGTTCAGGACACTGCACATGTGCGTTCCCAGACACCGAGATGATCAGCTGCTGCCGGGAACCTGTGGAGCTCCGACTGGACCACGGTACGACCAACCATGGTAATAACCATCGCTGTGAGTAACCAGCTTCAGAATCAGAGTCCAGCAAGAACAATAATAGTGTCAACGATTTCAACATCCGTGATGATGACGGTGATGGTGATGGTGGTGGTGATGATGATGATGACTCCTAGCAGGCCCATCATTAGCAACGTCGTTCATCATCATCACCGCAATCATCACCAACGAACTATTCGGCATCGGCGTCTCCCTCCTCCTTTGTATCCTTACCATATCTTATCATCATCAGCAGCATCATCACCTTCATTATCAGGACCAGCACCAGCACCAGCGCCGCCGCCGCCGGCGGCAGCAGCAGCACCACCACCACCGCCACCACCACAACCACCGCTGCAACAACAACCACCACCACCACCACCACCACCACAACCACAACCACAACCACAACCACAACCACGACGACGGCGCCGACGACGAACACGAAAAAAACACCAACACCAACACAACCAGCAGCAGGGGCATCGGCAGCAGCAGCAGCAGCAGGAACGACGACGACGACAAACATGTTACTGGAAGGTGTCCCAACTCACTACTGGTGCTGTAGCAACCGTGGCAGTCCAGGCATGGCAGTCATTGCAATCACTAGCTGCTCTAGCTTAGGCCACCCTGAGGAAGCTGGCCGAGTAGCTCTGGTGCGACATGAAGGGCCGCCCGAGGAGCAAAGCACCCGCAGCAGCTCCGAGGTAAAGGATCGCATTAATGAGACCTCCCCGAGTCTGGAGGTCTTCAGCCGACAAGAAACCCGTTTATGCAAGAGGCTCTTAGTCACGGTTTGTCGATGAAATGCGGAGTTTTTCAAGGCGATGTGGCGCGGAGGGACGTTGATCTTCAGAGCTGAAGCTCAAAACGGGCCCAGCCTGAATTGATACGGCTCTCGAGGCAGTCCGAGACAAGAGAGCTTTTGCACCACTCGAAGGTTAAGGTGATGAAATCCATGCCTGGAGGTGAAATGCTAGTTATTGCTGGTTCATGCATGCGAACGTAGACTTGACAACTCTGCACGGTTTGTTGCATCTGTGCTGCAGGAATTCAGGTAGCACAGCATGTAGCCTCAGGGTATCAAAGCTGCAGCTGCTGCTCAAGGCTGAAGTCTGGGTGTAAACCACGTTCCAAACACGGCACCCTGGACGACGCTTCTAGCCTCAGCCCCTTTCTTGTTGCCAAGTCGCCATAGAGAAAGCTTCCGATCACTCCTGCATACACGGCCTGCGTCGCGATCCCGAATGCCGGAGGTTCCAAGACCTCCTCCTGACTTGCTTTGCTTCTCCTCAGTCTGAAATAGCACAGAATACGGCTTCGGGGTCGTAGCGAACGAGAGGATATTATCCTTCTTGAACTCCGAAGTACTAGCAAACATGCGACTGGGCGTCGAATGGTTTGGACGCCGTTCATTTTCATCGACGTCGGCTTGCATGTGAAGCAGCCACCTGGTGGCATTTTCAATAGAAAGATCTCATGGGTGTTCACGATTGAAACTCTTGACTTTGACCGGCATGATCTTGCGGTCCTGGCTAGAGATGTTGTTTCTTTCTGCCTCTGTCTCTCTCTCCCTCTTTATGCTTTCAATCTCTGCATCTAGGCTGGTTGTTTCTTCTTGCGGCCGCTCTTATCCAAACTGCGTCATGCTTGTTACAGGATCTGCAGACAGCATCTGTGCCTCCTTCTCCGATTCCTCTGTATGCTTTACGACCTCTTCTTTCCTACAACTCCAGGGATACAAAGTCGTGTGATCTCTCACCATCTCTCATTCGATTCGGTCTCATTGGCTGGGCAGAGTCAGCGGCTGTGTGTCCGAGAAACTCAGATTGGTTCGCGATCTGCTCCCACTCTGGCTTTGCCGTTGGACTGATGTGCTACCCTCTGCTTCTCAGAGCGCTGAAGCCACGAGCCCCCAGGCCCCAAGTATACAAAAAGTCAGTCTTTCCAAACGTCCTTGCCCTTTTTCCTCCCGCTTCTTGCAGAACCCTGCAGAAAAGCACAGAAGGGCTCAGTGTCGAGTTCGCATTCGCGTTTCGATGAGAGCATGGCAAAAGTTATCGATGCCTCCTCTTCGAGAAGCGTTGTGCGAAGGCCCCTGCCCTCGCCTCCTGTAAGCCGAAATGCTTGGTGCGCGGCCTGGTTTTGTAAGTGGTTACCGCGTGGTACCGCATCTCCGTCCAAGAAGGTAACTTGCACTGACGCAGAGATTAGATCGAGTAGTTGGTGGCAACTGCCTTCAGGTGAACCTCGAACTCACTCGGAATGGATATGAAGATGGGGCTTCCTCTATACTTTCTACACTTTGTCGAACTCAGACAAACGTTCGATGAGGAACTGGCTGCCCTTTCTTCACCCGCCTGGTACGCCTTAAGCGCCTCGATGTTGCTTAAAGTTTCTCTACGAAACATGCCCAGCTGTACAAAGCATTTTGTGCAAAACTGGTCAACTTCGCGGGAGCCGTCAGCTTTCTGCCAGGAGCTGCGACCTTCTATGCGAAAGAAGCAAGCAACGCTCAAAAGACTTGCATGCGCCAGCGACTGACAGCGTGGCCAGGTGTCTCCGTCTTCCTTTACCAAAGTCACCTGAGAACGGTGGCTTTCTCCGGCTGCTGTCGCTGGTCTTGCTCTTGTCGCTTTCCGTCTTGCAAATCATGACGCACTTATAGTTTCGTATATAGTATAATATAGTATATAGTATATCATATTATGGAATTGTGTAATATTTTATTATAGTACATGGTGTTGTATTCTAGTATGGTATATTATATCGTATTACAAGCACTCCAGGCCACCGAGGTCCAGGCTTGGAGTATTCCATCGCTCAAAGTCCAGGTACACTCATCTGCGGTCGTGTTGCCGGCCAAGGACGAGTCGATAATGACCTACACGAATGGGCGAGAAGAGCAAACACAGCTCGCTACATTTATAAGGCGACGATTGCGGAACTTCTACTCCTGCAGCTCCATCGTGCGGAAGGCATGAACAGAATGCTTCGGAAGCCCTCTGCACATACGAATGTTCGGTGGAGGAGACGTGCGCCGGCAGACGCCTGGTCCTTGACTGACACTTTCAGCCGTTTTCGTCCGAAGGCGACCTCACCATGACTCAGGACAATGCAGAGATCGCAAGAAGAGTCTAGCAGCTTCACGACTCCAGATGCCTCTTCGGCTGGCTGCGTTGCAGTGTTGGGATGTTGCTGCAAAGCTGCATAGTTTTTTTTACGGTAGCTGCAAGGTCATCTTGCTGCTGCACGTGGCTGGCGGATGTTTCCGGCCTTTACGTACTTCTTGTCGCCTTTTTGCAAACCTTCCTGCTTGAAGGTGACCTCGGCAGGACAGGACAAGGCCAGGCGTCTTCCCATGCAGCCGATACAAGCTCTGCACCTCAACTTCGTCTTCCGACTGGCCACAGGACACGGCATAGTGACGACTTGCTTGAACTTTCGAGTCAGAGTTCCGGCTTTCTCTTGCATGTTGAGGGGGCAACAAAAACTTCTTCTTTCATCTCACAGTTCCTTTGCCCATGAAAGCTGCTGCGATTTTCGATTCCCTCTAGGCATCGTGGTTCGTTCGACCGTCTGTGACGGATTCCTTGACCAAGACAGGGACGACATATGGAACATGTGCGGGCCTGCTTCCAAGAATAGTCTGCAGTCTCACCCTGCGGAGACTCTGCCATCATGGAGGGATTAATCTGAGCCTTAGGCAGATTGACAAATCGGACACAAGGGATGCACGATACTGGCTAGACGCCAGACATGCAGCCGTGGAACAGGATTATTGGCACCAATGCTGTTTGCCAGGTTTTTCAGGTCATCTGGCTTCCTGCACCGAGCAGCTTGTCACACCCCAGGAAAGGTTTTGGTCGACGCACCTATTGGCACGCTGGAGCTTCGTCTGCTGGATCCAATCAGCATCAGTGCTGCAATCCTGTCTGCATCTCTATTTCCCTCTGTCACCAACATCTCTCTGAGAGCCGGCCTTGAGGGTGAAGTCCATCCTCCTCCACTCATCCTCAACTTCACTGCTCTTGCCCAAAAGCCAAACATTCTCAGATGGTGCCTGGGTGTCGTCGAACACCCGTCCGACAAAGCAGTCCCCTCTGAACGTCTGCCCGGGGTATCCGCATGCCTCGACACTTTTCAAAACATTCCCTCAGACCTGCTCACAAGGCTGACCTAAAAAGGCTGCGGCTTGCACAAGGCCGGAGACGCGCACGTTCTCCTGCGCATGTTTCTGTTCCCAGGGTGTTGTGGAGCTTGCCACAGGGATCCTTCACAGTCCGGGAAGCAGCAACCGATGCAGTCCTCCAGGCTCTTGGCCACACCCTTGTCATCAAGGTACCTGGCTTCTTGATTTTAGTCGCAGCTGCTTCATGGATCTTGGCCTTGAAAAGCTGTCTCCATGCAAGCACGGAAGTGTGGGGCACACACCAACTGCATGGAACCCGGTCTCCTTCATTCTCAATGCTAGTCGCTACACTCCCAGCTCCACAACGAAGCACGCACCGTTTTGTAACGGCTGGCCAGAACGTTTCCTTCGTCGGAAGCTGCACTGGGAAGATCTCGACGCTGCTGGCAGAGAGCAGCTTGTCCAGCATCTGTGCACGACAAGACAAAGTGGCTACATCTGCATCATATGGTTTCAACTGGTGGGCCGCAACCTCGTTTGGCATCTCACCCTTGTCTGTCTTCTCCTGCCGGGTGTGCAACTCGTGTTGATTCGGACTGTTTTCGAGCTTCTGTGAGGACAGGACATCCGTGTGGCCGCATAAAGGAAGCTCTGACGATACTGTAAACTTTGATGTCAGGAGAGAGTGTGTACCCCCGGGCGATCATTGGCCATCCGCGAATTATCGCCGAAATTAGGCGATGAACATGGAAGCCCAAACCTTGTAGGGTGGCAGGGCTTGGGTCATCTGCAAACGTCACAATTTGACGACAACCACCTGGATGTCGACGCCCGTCCGATCTTTCAGCTGCTGCCTGCCAGACTCGGATATCGTTCATGCAAGAGCTGCATAGCTTGGCTGGTGCACAACAGCACCCCACGGTCAGCGGTAGCGCCGGCCTCAGTGCCGTCAGGGCAACGCTGTAGGGCACAATCTCCATGGTTTCTACAACCCGAATCTCCTACGATGGGGTGGCGTGAGTCATACCACCGAATTCCTGAGAAGTCGACTCGAGCAAAGAAGTTCTCGACGAACGTGCGGAAGGTGTCCTGTCAGCATTCAGGGTGCGAAGGGGCATCACGAAGAGGGGGGGGGGTGGGGGGGGGGTGGCCGTTCGTTTTGAAACCTCCTCCAAGGTCGCAACATCTTTTTCGTAGTCGAGCTCCTTCACAGTCAAAACAAGGCTTCCAGGAACTGCAAGCCTCAATTCAGCCATCGGCTCCTGCATGTCATCACCGGCCGATGCTGGAATAAAGACATATTTGAAACCCATGGCTGCTCGTGGCCTTACCTTCGCTTCACCTTAACATGCTTTTCAGCTGCAGCCTGGAGGTACACTTCCATCTGGCAAGATCAATGGGAGCTGTCATGTCTACTCGCAGTATCGGCAGCCAACCTCATACGAAATCATGACACCATCAGCATTGTTGGGTGCATTGTGCCGACGGCTGCTTTGATGTGCTTTGTTGGACATTCCACTCTTGCCAGCTGGGCTTCTCCCTACATTCTGCTGTGAAAGCAAGCTTTGCAGCCAGGGAAGCTCTTTGCAACGGTTGACGAGTCTCGTCTCCTGATGACTGGGAAAAAACTCCTCATGATGTGCAGAGTTTTGCTGCTGCGACGAAGCAAGATCCTCTTTCAGGACTTGCTGCGGTTCTGAAAACATTGAGATGCGGACCTTCGCCCAAGCTCGGGTTGACACCAACAAGGCACGTTTGGACTGTTGAGGTATCTAAGGGTATGCACACCCTGCGAGCAGAAGACCGGGGCAACGTCTGGCAGCCATGGAGAGAGACTGCATCTTCAGGACTCTACGTGTCAAAGGAGCAGGCTCCTTCAGCCACACCCGGCACATCATGATGAAACATCCATTGCAGTTTACATTTGGAGTTGCAAACTTAAAGCGTGGTGCGATGCTCACAAGCGAATGTTCAAGTGACTACGGAACAACTCAGAAGTCGCAGCGCGAGGAGCTCTTCAAGCCTGCAGCTGCATGCCTGCCGAAGACTTGCCATGGTTGTCAAACCGGGTAAAGCGTGAGGTGTCTGTAACTCTAGCCGTGCCGCTAATCATGAAGGGCGGCTCTATCAGCACGGAAGGTCTGGGCCTTGAGCTAGAATTGCACCTCAGGCCCTAAAGGACCGAGCTTCTGGCCAGCGCAGGAACGAAACCCATCGAAGTTTGAATTCTTCGCTCTGCGTCGACTTCTTTCAGGTTCCTACCTCGTCGATTTTACGTCGAGACAAGGATGAGCAAAATGGATTCAGAGCAGAACTTATCTTTCTTCGAGCTTAAAACTCTGGAGGAGATGTTGCACACTTTATCCCCAGCACGCAGATCCTTTGCCTCGGTCAAGGGCGATCCATATCCTGGCAGTGAAGACTGCATGGATTCTGCAGTGCAGTAGGCTTAACCCGTAGATTGCCCAAGTTAACCTTTTGCGGAAGTCGGAAAAGACATGTTTAAAACGGGTGAGGCCTCGTCATCGAAGGCAAAAGCCGCGTGACCAGCAGTGACTGTTGCCTATGACAGAGAGAAGCCACGCAGCAACATGTGTACAATTCGTGTTAGAACTTCCTGAACAGAAGATGATTCGGCAAGTGTCTCGCAGGGCCTGTGTCCAACCTTTGAGAATCTCATAGACCTTCCTTGGTGTCCAAGCGAGTGTGCTGTGTCTTTCAGGCTTATGGATTGTTGTCCCACGTCTTGCTCTATTCGGGCTGGAGCTTGAGGTGTAGGTCTGCTTCGATAGACTGGCTCTGCGCGCCGGCTTGAATGCAAACGACCGCAACAGTTGCTGCAATGTAAATGTTGCGACAAGCCGGCGAAGAGGGTGCAAACCTTGTGCCTCGATGTCAAGAATTCAGCCAGGCAGCTTCGAATCCACTCCCAGGAATGCGGCTGGCCTCCGGCCGTCCAAGCACAGGAGTTTGACTTTAAGGCTGCTTGAGCACATTGTGCAAGGAGGGTCCAAATGCTTACGGGGGCGTCTGCGGCAGCACCAAGGTTGGCACATTACCTGAGTGACCGGCCCTGTACAACAAACGTCAAAGGGCCGGAAACCTGTCACGAGCGGCACTTCCAGGCAAGGCAGGCTAAGACCCTCTGATTCTGACTGGAGCGCCTTAAGATTTCTAAGCATGGCAGAAGGACCCGACCAACTCGCGAGCAGCGGATCGGAGCCGTTGCGAAGAAGAAATCCAGTGGCCCATGCTCGGCCTCGCGACACAGGAAAGGCACTCTTTCAAGCGCCCTCTGCAGAGTGCACAATGGCCTGGCCTGTCATGGCAGCCCAGTGCAGGGGCGTCTCGCCGGCATCGTCCTGGGCATTCACGTCCATGCCCATACCTGGGGCAAGCAACCCGATGTGCTCATAGACTTAACGAGGCTCATTGCATCTGCAGGCTGCGCATTTATGGCAGCTCCTCCCCTGTCAAGTCTGAGCCAAGTGCGCACGAGCATCTCAACAGCTCTGGCACACCTAGCACTGCCATCCTGGGCTGCACTGTCAGCAGCATGCAGATCAAGCTGTCTTGCGGGTCAAAGCCCCTGATAATTCTCAAGCTTGTCTCCTGCGTCGTGATTAAGTTTGAATGATTAAGCCCGTCACCACAGCTGCTGCTGCCGCAATGTGCAATGCCTCAGAAGTGCTTCTTGAGACACGTGAGCGCTTGCCTTCGGCTACCTCTATGGAGAGCATCGCTGTCGCATGTAAATTCACCTGGGAGATCCTTCGCATGCCATGAATCAGTGGTGGCAGCTGTGTGCTCGGCCGATTCCCCGAAGCCGCCCTCGAGACTCGCCAGATTTATGTGCGCCCCACTGCCTCGACGAAACTGAAGGCCGGAACGGCTCGAGTTGCAATTTTTTGGGGTACCCAGAAACTGTCTGAACTGGGAAGCCGGCATCGCAGCTTTGCCATGATGTCACAGGCATCACGCAAGCGTTCGAAGTCCTGGTTGTCCCTCATGCACGCCGCCTGAGATACGAAGATGAGCAAAACGGCGGCCGCTTCCCCAGCTAAAGGCCTTCCGCAGCACGGGTCCAAGCATTCTGGCCGGGACCTGCCGCGCAAGCAACTGACAGAAACTCATTCTTGGTTTTTTGGGTGTGTCTGTGTGTTTGCGCCCACGCTTCTTTGCTTGTTTTCGTTGAAGGTCGCAGGCCTGCAGTCCTTTGGCTAACCAAGCTCTCCACAGTAAGCTGAGGATATCATCAGAGACGCCTGGTGATACCAACTACATGCTGATGGGGCCAAGCCTAGGACCTTGGTAGATGCCATTCTTGATGGTGCAATGCTCACTTATCCTCCGAGCAAGGATCTTCGAGAATATTGATGACAACCCTAAACCCAGCGGTGTGTGGCAGAGATTCCCGGAGACGGGGCTCGTTGCGTCATCCTTTTGTTGATGACAACTAGTCCTGCTAAGCCTTCGGGCTGTAAAGACTGCATGCGAGTAAGCGAGCGAGTGAGTGAGCCAGCCCCGAGCGGCTGATGACTTTTCACCTGCTTCCCTGTGAAAATTGAATGCAACTGCATTTCCCCAATTTCCCCTGCCCATGGTCCCACGCGCGTCGGAACTAGTAATACTGCAAAAGCTGCATGCTCAGATGGAACTCTGCACAGGGAAGTGCGTTGAATCTTGGCACATCCAACACGTCGTGCACTGGGCCATGAGTGACCCTGCGCCGGGACCGTGGGGATGCCAAAGCTCACATGCTCACCGTGTCACATTGACGTGAGAGTGGAAGCGATGTCGCAGGAGAACGATAGAGTACATCGGGCGACTTCTATTTCTCTTCTCTGGTCTCACTTATTCCCAGAAAGTCTGAGTGCTTACATTGGCCATGGTCGGCGACATCGAGCAAGGGCTGCAGATCCAAGCAGCGCAGAAGGGGCTTCACGATTTTTTCGGGTTTAGGGTCTAAGACCGCGGGGAATGATCTGATCAGAAAGAAGACTTGACGGGAGGTGAAGAGCAGGAGGGTTGAGAGGTGACACATTCAAATCTGACAAAGTCGCCGGAGTCGGGAGACTCGCCTGCACTGGGCATTACCTATAGCGCCTCCTTTGTAGTTCCTTCTGTGGGCTTAACCAGTGTTATATTTAGTATCCTTTTTAAGGGACCCGCCAAAAAGGAACTGCAATGGAGACTATAGGTAGATATAGTATGATATGACATACTATACCATATTCTAGTATATTATTGTATATTTTCATAGGCCATCATAGTAAATTCTTATTATGGTAGATTACTACCATGGTCGCGGTCTGCTCGGCTCACTCCTCCAGGCCTTGGCAGTCATCTTCTGCTCGAACTCCGTGATGCAATTCTTTCCGAATTCCATCCTTGTGAGCGGGGGGGTCTTTGAGGGGTGTGGCAAAATCCTAGTTCTAGCCCGTATACCACCGACATGTCTCAGCTCTCACACTTGCATTTAGGCACCGTTAAGATTTAGGCACACAGCTTGTCCGAATCCTGCACCCAGAAATTGACCTACAGACTTACAGTATGCGAAGAAAGCAATGCTTCCGCCAAGCATCAGCTTTGACAGCAAGATGTCCTTCTCCTCTGTTACTGTACATCTGGCAGCTTCTGCTTTCACCCGGATTGATGACAAATTCCAGGCAATCGCAGAGTCGAACTGACCAAAAACCCATCGTTTCGTGGATAGCGGAGCTCGCATTGCCACGATACCCTCTCCACAAGCCACGTCCCACAGAAGACCCTGGCCGGGAGAATCAATGCTTAGCTCATGCACAGCTGCAAAGGCGCCTGTCTGTCTGCAAAGAACAGCTCGTACAAGCACCACCTCAAAAGCTGCAAAGATATTCCCTGCTCCGATAAAAAAGATGGGGAGCGGACAGACTGGCAACATTGTGCCGCCAGGTAAGGCTTGTCGGCTGGTCAAGGATGAGCCTCGCAGACTTCTCCAGCTCCAGGCTTCACCAGCACACAGCAATTTCAGTGCTAAGTGCTGGGCAGAACGCCTCTGCCAGTGTTTGACAAGAGGCGCTGGGTCTTTTCTGCGGACTCGTTGGCTGACTTCTCCAGCTCGCCACGCCTCTTGTGCTGCAATCAAATCGTCCACCACCGGACATCATACATCATTGACATTATTCAGCGTGCGTTTGAGCTCCTTCTACACAAAGCATCCACGTAGTAGGTCGTCTTCTCCGGTAGAAGGTGTGCCTTCCGGTTGGTAACATTGAACGGTTCAGTGCTGCGGCGCTGCAGTTCGGAAACCTCTGCATGTCTCTCTATTGCGCTGAACAAGGCCACCAACTTCACGTCCTGCAGATTGAACGGGGCAGTATGGAGCTTTCCATGACATTGCGCAGTCAAGCTAGCCCAGCGAAGGCCACGTATGCGTCCTCAGGACATATGACGTAGGTGTCGGGCAGCTGGCGCTGTGTTTGAAAGCACCTACGAGAAAAAAGCAACATCATGCTGACAGGCTGTCGCGTGGATCCCCTCAGCCGCCCCCGAAGACTCGCAAAGGCTGGCACTCCGAGAAGGAGCTGTTGACGGGAAGGATGTCACGGAGAACGTGAAGCTCCTCTCGACAGTCTGCCGTGGACCCGGCGTGCTACACTCTGAGTCCTATGCCCTATGCTCAACATGGTGCGATGTTTCCGTGTCCAACGGAAACTTCAAAGCAACCTTATCGGGTCGCCTTGTCCTTGTTCCAGAGGTCTCTGGAGCTGGCTTTGTACCACGCAGGCAGGCCTCCAAATTCCACCAAGCGCCTACCTGCCGAGAGTCATCGCTGATAGAACCCGGGCTCATGAAAGTGAAAACAGCACCATCAATACTGGCATTCATGAACCAGAGGGAGCAAGCCAGTTAAGCATCCGGCGAAGCATGTTGGCAAGAATTCGAAGCTGTGACCTGAATCAACCATCTTCATGGGCTCTACATCGCCACATCTGGGGCTGTCTACAACCTGCAGCTGCGAAACACACACGCTATAAATCTGCAGCTGGGAGGCAAAGTGAGCGCACGATGCTCAGGTGGCATGACGTTGCATACCTCATCGCAAGCCACAAAGAGCAGACAAGACGAATCGAAATCGGCATGGTCTCTTTCATTCAACTCTAGGCTTTAGTTCCCCAGGGGCCGAAAGTGGATGTCAGATCGGCTCAGAAGCTGAGCAACCTCCCCCTTGACATCACGAGCTCGGCAGGGCTAATGAACACTGTGCAGCGGCCCTCCCATAACCTCATTGTGAGGACACCTAGGACCTAGTTTCTTTGCCTGCTTGCTCTCGCTTGCTTGCAGTCTTTCGACGGGCCCTTGCTCCGCACTTTTGCTTGGTCCTTTTGACTGCTTCCGGTCTGGGTGCGGTATGGGTGAGCCCTCGCCGCCCTCGCCTTGTGCGCACCCGCACATCCGGCAGTCCCCACTCGTAAGTCAGCATGACACTTCGTGAGGGCTGACTTGCCCCGCACAAGATCCGCGAACCCAAGAGCGGAAATCGCGCCTGGCCTGAGACAAACTCTGCACTTCTTTCTCGGATTGCATTCAATACCCTCATCGCACGGCCCCGCTGCCCACGCCGTGTTTACCACATCGCTTGAAGTTTCGGCCCTCCGATGCTCGAACCTCCTCTCGCGCACACTTTCCGAGGCATGAGGCATAAAGGAGGGAGAGAGAGAGAGAGAGAGAGAGAGAGAGAGCGACAAAGAGAAAGAGCGACGGGAGAGAGCGAGAGTAAGTGAGGGCGTGTTGCACTTTACTGTCTGATGAGCATGTAGTGTCTTATAGCATATACATATATAGATAGATATGTGGCATGTATATTGTATGTATGTCTGTATGTATGTGTGTATGTATGTAATTATGCGTAGCCAGATTAGGTTAGCAGTGTCGAGACTAGACTAAACTAGACTAGATTAGACTAGACTCGAAAGGGCTGGATAGACAGAACTTGTCTCCGCACGTACCTGTGGTAAGCTTAGCATGAACACACTGTGCCTTTGCTGCATGTGAATGTCCAGAAGCCTCTGAGGCACAGGCTCTTTTCAAGTCGAAGAAGTTGTTCCAGTTGTCGAAGCTCTCCTTCACTCCGCGGGCCTGGAGTTCGGGAACTGGGTCACCGACGGTTCCAACCTTGTCGTGGAGTCTCTGACATTTCGAAGCTCTGCAGCAACCCTGCAGCAAGTAACACGGGACTAAGACATTGCTTTGTTTGTGAAGACTTACGTTGAGGCATATGAGGGTTTCCCAGCAAGACGTCATTACCTTCTCATGATGCAAGGAGACAAGACTTCTGACCTGCGTGCATCGGCGAAAGCTAGCCGGCCCGAGATGACTGCTAGGCTGTTAGTCGCAGTTCCGTCTGGTCACATCGTGCAGGTCCAAGCAAACAGTACATGCCCAAACAAGCCGCTGAGTCCTCTGGTTACCGTATTATAAAGGTTTCAGTTTCAGGTTGAAAGGAAACCTTCCGGCCCTCTTGGACGCTGGCTTCGAGAGCTTTTCTGCATTCCTGCAGGAGCTGTCCATGCGGCTCGGGCTCTTGGCCGACTGCCACGCTCTGCCACGCTGTTTGTCCATGCCTGTCGAATGCTGTGGTCGAGGATCTTGAACTTCACGGCGGTGTGCTCATTGCTGGTGACAAGACCTCAGCCGAGATCTAAGGCTTCGGCAAACAGCGCTCTGATACGTGTCGAGTGAGGCTGGAGCTGTGCTCATGCTGGTACTCAGGAGAGCCGTCCAGTCGCCTTGGAGCAATTGCCAGGCACACAGGATGCCGAAAGCGGATCGCAGAGCTGAGGATCCTGGCCGTGCTTCAGACACAGTCTCCCCATTCTCCAGTTCGTAGACGTCGCCGTCAGTGCGAATTCCATCCAACAAATTAGCACTGCTTCTGTCATCTTCACAGTAGCAGTTTGCAATGTAATTCATGACTAGCCGTCGTTCAGCCTTGCTGGCGGCATCCGTTTTGCTGCAGCAGAAGGAGTGTAGAAGGGCATGTAGGACAGGAACTGAGGTTGCACGCCTGGTGCCGACCAAGCCGTCGGGAGTGCCTAAGCAGCTACTAAGGCTCCAGTCCAGAGTTTAGGGCTTAGAGGTGCGCGGCATAAATTGACTGCATGAAAACTGAGCTTTCGACAGAGCAGCAGGGGCTTGGTTTCAATACCTCCTCCTTGCCTCATCAACCGAATCCTTTCCCGCACCTCTTCCCAAGGAACCGAGAATGGATCACCACCCCCTGCCAGCTCAGACCTCACCTGCCAATCTAAACGACAATTTTCGGATTGGAAGATGTCGTCCGAACTTGGCGCTCGGTATTCCACGAAACGCTCCTTCTCAACTTGCAACACTTTCTCCTCGTTGACATTGAAGATGCTGCATCCCTCCTCTCTAGCGAGCTCTTCCCGCAGCTTCCACCGCCTTCGACTTGTAGCCGTGTCGGTGATGATAGCCATCTCGAAAATACACCAACTTCTCTCCAAGATGCTGGCATGCTCGTCCAGAAACAGGGCTGTTGCCTCGGACTTGCCGAATGCACTGAAGACAGGGGAGTTTAGCAAATCGAAGACGTGGGCTGGAGCACTTTCCTCCCGAGCAAACATTCCAATCCACATGTTGTCGCGGATTGTCATGCCCTGGTCATCAGCCAGATGATGTACGCTGCCCATGAAGTCACGAAATCCGCTGTGCAAACTGAAAGACACAAACACTTTGGGATCTTGTGGTCCGTATGCCACGATCTCTATCCAGCTCCAGGCATACTCAGGTGGCAAATCATTGGTTGCAACATCTTTGCTGATGTCCGCTGCGAGGTATCGTATGGCAGGCTTCAGGATGTATGAAGCCATATCTTCCATGAGGATGTCCTCCCAGTGTAACCAATCGGACTCGTTGTCCCGATGTTGCAAGAGGCCGGTCTTGCATAGCCTCTGGATGAACTCCGAGAGCTCCTGCACCTGTAGCAGAGAAATGCCTCGCGAGGCTGGATCTGGGATGTTGACTGGAAGCTTGCCGAGGGCCCATGGCGTGAGTTTGCCATGCATCCTGTCCTAGCTAGAGTCTCCGGGCTGTTGAGGTGCTGGTAGTTTTTGTGGGGCTCGCAAAGACGTGGTGCAAAGTTTCTTGGCTCGGCATTTCCTCTCTATCATGCCTGAGCCATTTCGGCTTAATTTCACTGATGTCATCAAGAGCATGTTTAAAGCCACTTGGCAATGGCAACCATCGCAACCTAAGGACAAGCGAACTGCTGAAGTCTATTGCCGTTGGTACTGCTGCGGCTGCTTCAACTCCTACTACGGCTGCTTGCCCTGCTACTGCAACGAAGAATGCCATGATAACTCTCGCAGTAGCATCTACTGTACCTGTTTGGTCTAAAAATGAAGTGTTCTTCGATAGCTCATGTAGAGCCTGCGATGCTCGGCGCGAGGGATAGCAAGATCGATTTCATGAGAATCTGGCATGATCTTGCAGATGCATAGCTACCACGCGTTTACTTTGCTGGTATGCCCTGGCGGATGTCTGCCGGGCTGTCCATCTGCAGGAGTGCCACAGCTTAAGTTCAGCCAGATTGGCATCACTTGCGTGCCCCTGCGTAGTGTACAGTGCTGTACAGTCCTGCTGCTTCTCATGCTTAGACTCAGACTACCGTGATGTCGTCTACAGCTATGTCGCTCGACCACCCATTTCCGGTCTCTCCAACGATGCGCAGCTTGTTGACATCACCCGGAATCTCCACTTCAGCATGTATCCACTGATCTCCCTGGCTGCCAGAATCGGCGAAGATTGTGTTCCAGGCAGCTCCTGTTCCTGGATACACTGAAGACATCACTTTCAAGTCGCCCATTTTGCTTCCCTTCATGTGGTACCAGAAGGAGATCTTTTTCCTGGACGACGAGATCGCAAAGGTAGGCGACTCCAAGACGAACTGCTTGTTCTTGTTGCCACCGCTCGCTTCTGTGTAGACATAATATGTTCCAGTGTATGCTGAGCTCGGGCCAGTGTTGGAACTCGGCGTGTTCCCTGACTTACGTCTCCACTCCTCCTCACCGACATTTTTGAAGAGCCAGTTGCAAAAGTCGGACTCGAAGTCGCAGCTGAGTGCCTGTGGGCCAAGGCACTGTCTGTAATTAGGGCCTGTAGTGGGCTTGAACCATCTCTGCATGAGTCTGTGTTGAAGTTTGGTCTGGTGAACTTGCTCGGAAATTGTGGCGGGTCGCACTGGCCCCGCAGCCTCGGGTTGCTGAAGAAAAACCGGGGGATTAAAGGTATTCCTCCGATTACTCTGCTTCATGGCTTGTCACGGTTTCTCTGCCCAACTTGCATTTGGTGTCTCATCCTTCACCGAGGATCTCAGGCATGCTCCTCTAAGACCCTCAGAACCCGTGCCAGCTCGTGCCAACAAGCCTGGTCAACAGGCATTGGAGGTGGCGGCGTCGGTGCCATCTCAGATGCCACGATGGAGTCCAAGGCCATATCGCTCCGGTACGACGAGCCTCGACGAAGAAAATGCTCCAGGGCTAACTGTGGTCTAGAATTCCTATCTACGACAATATGCATTAGCCGGCTCATCGCGAGCATCGCCTGTGATTCCAACGAAGCGCAAGGCAGTAGCCTCTCCGGGGATTGTGACGGCGACTGGAAACCATCCTGCACCCTTGTCTCCTGGACACTCATTGTCTCTTTCTGAGCTCAGCATCTCAGCGGAAACATCTGCTCTTAATCAATGACCTGTCGCTACTGTCGGGAACTTGTCTAACGGCTCCTGACTTCTCCCAAAGCTGCGTCCAGCCAGCAGTGCTGGCAAACTCGAGTGCGAGGCTGCCCATGCTGGAGCCGTACATGCCTCAGATGGTAAATATCGAAATGAACTGGTCGCACTCCTGTGCGAAGATTTCTCGTTAAACACCAGCAAAAGCCACCGAAGAGGATGCTTTAAGGAGACTGGTTGTGTGGAGAGAGTGCTTGCGCCCAGGAGCTGCATTGGAAGTACAGCGCACGATCGCTTGACCCGCTTGAGAAATTGGCACTCTGGAGCACGAACCGCACATCAGGATGGTTGCGACTGCTGGACTCCACAAAGATGTAATGAGTACCTGGCAGGGGAGGCCGTGAAACTGCAGCGACTAAGAACGAAACTCCGGGTGCTGAGAACATGTTCGGTCTGGCCTGACTCTGCTTCGCTGGGCCCTGTGCTGCCGGATGGTGTCGTGCCAGATTTCCGAGTCCACCTTAGCACTCAGGCACTCCTCACTCCCTTGCATGGGCAGAAGCGTGGATCGGCATATTGCGGAGGTAAGACGGGAGAGTCACGTAGTAGTGGTATTCACAGCTAAAGCAACGAAGTGTACGATGTGCATACCGCCACGATACATGTTCTTGGAAATTGGCTGCACTCACTAAGGAAAGATCTCACTCTTCCTTTCGCCAGGGCTATGGTGTAGGGGTACTCCGAACTCTCTCTCTTCTTCCACACAGTCAAGGAGAAAGCGCAACGCTCCCCCTTGCGCGCGAGCGCGCCCTGTCTGTTGAGGTCTGGTCGCAGGCTAAGTCAGATGAGGCCCACGTCACCACAACTCTGTAACTCCCGGCCCCTGTACTGAAGCTAAGACATCCCCAGGCCTCATCTCGTCAGCAGAAAGGCCGCCACCGGAATTAGAGCGTAAACTCGCTCTGTATTGCCAGTTCACAACTCTTTGGCTGTGCGCTGTCCCCCCGTACAAGCAAGGCACACTGCTATCGAAGAAAACTGCAAATGAAGTGGTAGTTCACGGGTGCACAGGCTGTCCCAAAATTTGCACATCACGCTCCAAAGACAACAGCCCGTTACTACTGTTCTAGATTTGGACTTACTGTCGGTGCAACTGTGACATCTGAGGCTCCGGCCGCTCTCTCTCTCTCTCTCTCTCACTCTCGCTGTTGCTCTGCTCGGGGCTTGCAGTGCCGTCCCAGTCAGAGCTGCCCCATCCCCGATTATCGCAGGATGGCTCGGCTGTCCTAGGAGTCCTAGCTCTCTCTCCTTTTTTTTCTCTCTCTTCTTCCTTCCTTGAGAAAGAGTCTCACTGGCTCTTGCTTGCTTGCTTGCACAGCGTTTGGGCACGGGGGAAAACCCCCGAAACCCTGCGCTCACGCGCTACGCTTCAGTCCGAGTCTTGTCAGAGTGACACAGGAGGCTCAGCTGGTGTCACGGAGCGGCCCAATCCCCTATGCTCAGCCCTTTCAACCCACATGAACTACATGCACTCCCAACCTGGGCCATCCCGCGTGTGCTGAGCCCCTTTTGTGCAGGGTTCCGCGAGCGCCCGGGCATTGCCGGGTTTGCAGCTCGTCGAGTCCGAGGTTGCTTCCACTAGTCCCCAAAAAACCCCTTCTTACGGTCCGTTACACAGCACAGCAACACACGCTCAAGACTGTGAAGCCCCCTCCAACTTGTTGCTTCTATGCCACAGTGTTGGTTTGTGGGTTATGTAGGTGTGATTGTTGGCACGGGTCCCCGGGAGGAAGCACTCGGGGGCAGGGCAAGAAAACAAGTAGGGGGCCAACATACAACTTCAGGGGGGGTCCCCGTGCCAGTGGAGGTTGTGCTGTGGGTGAGCCGTTGCCTGTGGGGGGGGAAGCAAGAGGGCAGGTTCGAAAGCACCTAGGGGAACATCACATACACTTAGGCCCCGGCTCACGTTGGTGGTGGTGGTGTGGTGTGTTGCTCCTACTTCCCCTTCCCTATGGTCGCATGCGGCATGTATGCGAGAGGTCCTACCTGAAGGCAAGCTCCGATAAAAGCAGGCCCCGACAACGC